TGAATTTAGTATCAAATCAGTAAGCCAGCTCGAATAAAGTACATATGTAATTGTTAACTTTTGTAATTTTACACTTTGTGTTGCCTGTAAAGTGTGAGTTATTTTTAAGTGTTAATTGAAATATCGAAATTAATTACATATAATATTTTTTATTGATTTATAAATTCAAGGTAATCTCTGTTGGTCTAACTGTGCAACATTTCACTTAACAAATAATACTTATACATCTTCTCTTGATTTTCTCTTGAAGTTTCGATTTGTAAATAAAATATAGTGTTTTATACTTTATGTATTTTTTTATAAATAATCACATTTATATAACGTAGATGAAACATTAAGATTTATTTAATTAATTTGATTTAAATTATTGTAAGAAGTTATCACAACTATTAAAAAATATAACTTGTAATAGGTAAATTTATTATTATTGTGAAAATTTTATATTGCAATATCTTGTCGTATATAACAATAGGCACGTATTAAAATTACATTTATATGACTTAAGAGTAATAGTTAAAATATAATGTAGTGAAAACTACATAATAATGTTTTCACTACATTATATTTTTACTTTGGAATAATAAAAGGCTTGTAAAATTGGATATGACGATTTTTTTACAAACGAAAGATATATTATTGATTGATTATACTTATTTTATATCATACAGTATGTACATATATTATTGTATAGTAACTATGAATATTTCTGTAGAAAGGAGACCCGGCACTTTTCATAGAAAAAATGCTAAACTTGTATACAGTTGAATTTGATCTCAAAATAAAGCTAAAATTATTTGCTACATAAAACTACTTTTGCCTTATTTTTAGTGAATCGTGGAAAGAAGTTATATAATGATTAATATTTTTTGATATGGAAACCCTAAATCTTCAAGGGACAGAATTTTACTTCAAAATTTTACTCAAGTGACTGTAAAAAAATGATTTCTTTGCTTTTTGTAAATAAAAAACCAAATGTCAATTTGACAATCCTAAAATACAAACAAAAAAATCATTCGCATTTCGCATCCGCTCCCGCGTACTGTAATTGTGAATGTTCTCTGCTGTGATTGCCGTGTTATTCGTTATTTCTCTTGACGACCCGGCTACTTATAGAGGTTATATTGACAAACCTACGTATTTGACATTGACAGCTAGCTGCTGATGACAAATATTGCCAGACTACGTTACCCAATTATAATACACAGATAAAAAAATTAAAAAAGTATACAACTTTGGCACATAATGCCGGGTGTCCTTTAATCATGATTTTATTTTCCTATTTACGTTCGTTCTCTATTTTTTATTGTAATAACTAGTCTAAACAAAGATTTAAGACTGAAACAATGTTTCGTTTTACACAATCTCAAAAAAGTAGTGCCTTGTAACCATTATTATCTTTCAACGGAATTTGTAGTTTGCTTTTATTAATTACTTTATACGATGTCAAAAATTACATGTTAGAAAAATGTTACAGATTTTTACTGTATTATCTTGATTGTGTAAATGAAGATATAATGACATAGTAATGAATAAATTATGCATGATTTTTTTTTTCTTTATACCTTTAAACTGAACATTCTGCTTCTCATTTTTCTCTCTTATAATCTCCAAACTCGTAAAGGAACAATAGATTAATGTTTTGTATGAATAAGAGCATTTCGAAACTTCCTAAAACTTGGTTGACATAAGGAGTATGTAGGCTCTTAAATAAAACTTCATTTTTATTTAGCAAATTCTTCATACTTTTGATCCGATATATCTTCACTGGTTTTTGTATATATTTGGACTTCTCGGCCCTGTTATAGCAAGGATTGGGTAAATAATAGAAAGAGAAAGGGATTACTAATGGAGGATGTGTGTTTATATGAAGGAATTACTAATTTCATAAACTTTTCTCGTTGTATAAGCTTCAAAAGTTGTTTAAAATAGCTGGTCACTTGGACGTATAAGCCGTTAATTAAACGCCGGCAGCCAATGAAATTGCTGAAGAACATAAAACCAAGTCATTGAACGCAACATTGTGTTGTATTTAGTTAAATTTTATGTTGATTGCAGCCATTTTATATAACTGCAATTGGTTTTATCACGCTTATGTCAGATATTATCCTTGAATAACGTTATTATGTTATGCATATACTTCCTTAACATTTATTTATTCATTCCTATTGATGACCGCCGGTTGATTTATAATAATCGTTGATAACAAACTTACGACAATACGACCTTAGTGAAACCGCACAGTTTAATTGTGTGACGCGACCTAAGAAACTGATACGACTTGCCACAACCGCGGTAGCAGCCCACCGGTGTTAATTTCAATGCCTACTTACCCATACTTACTTATTCTGATAGACATTAAAACTACAAATCATATTAAAGTATCTAATTTATACGCAAATTGAAATATGTTAATGATATTATTGTGGATAACTTCCATTAAAATATTTGTGTTAATGCATGACACAATAATTAAAGTCCTTTTCCAGGATTCGAACCCAGGAGCCGGTACTCCACATTAACCGAGTGCTCTCTTCTGTTAATAGTAATTTATGTCATATGAAATAAACATTATTTAGGTAACATCATCACATCATTTACTTACTCGTCCCTACTTAACCATTCCTTGAAATGTCACTGCTTTCATTCTCTCTCTCATTTAATTTTTAAGTTTGATTCTCATATTATTATTTTTGGCATTAATAAAAGGGTAGAATTTAATTATCTAAAGAATAATATTCCACTCGGTCCAGACATCAGACAGATCAGAGACCTTACAATGACCGTGTCGAATTTCTGCATCTTATTACTGCAAGGCCAAGGCCAATACATCTTACTTGTATACTGGCCTTATACTGGGGTATAGGTGAACCCGACAATGCCATATTTTTGGTATTATAAAAATTTCCGAGTTAGCCCACCCGATGTTAAATAAAAGCAGAGTCCAGCTGAAAATAACTGATGTGGAATGAGTGTTTCGCCACAAACATAAGGCGCTTCTATTTCACTGGTTCTTCTGAATGATGAAGGGCGGTGCTTCAATTTTGAGCAGAAAACCAGGTAATGTTCCATCCATCTTTCTCTCAAAAATGAGGAAATCTCCAATAAAAAACAATATATTAAAATATAGGTATATTTAAATACAAACACAAGATTCAAAGACACAATTTTTGCATTCATTAATTAACTAGTTCTCATTCGCTCTAGTTACAGAATGTTCCCAATCATCTCTTAGAAAAAATAATGAACACTTTACTTTACCTTAAAATATTATATTTTAACTGCAATTTAAATTGACATCTTAATGTTTTATTATACTCATACAAAGTTCATTGGGTGACAAACTTAAAGTTGTTAATGCAACTGTTGCATAATGAAGGGTATTAAAACACGAATGTTTCGCCTCGTGTGATAACAGTATCAGATGAGTTCCTAAATTATGAACAGTTGCATAAAAGACTTTATTGAGATATGATATGACTCCTCTACAAAATACTCTGAAACCCTGGAGCGTTCTAAGAACTTAAAATTCATCAAAAGTTGCAGTGCTGTGGTAGTGAAATGCGCGTGATTGAGAATATTCTTTTTTTGAAATTCATAATACTTCCAACGCATCGAGCAGTAAATATTGTGGCTGTCTGATGGGTAAACCCATAGCGCGGAAGGGATTTAAAAAGCGAAGGAATGTTATTATGATATTTAGTACAACATTAAAACAATCGTTGGGTGTTATAATCAGGGATGTAACGGAGGTAAATTTATCGGTGTCGGAACCGGGGTCAGAAGTGGTCACAAGAGATATATTTTTCATTTAAGAACAAATAAAAATGTAATTCAGTTAACCTTTTTTCATTTAAAACTTATTAGTAACACAACTCCCAACGCGTCGGGTATAAACCGGTTCGTAACGGTCGACGCAGGCCGCCGTCGCTATTTACTATGCTTCGACCTCCGATTAAAACCTCCGATTTAAAAGTTTCGGAGCCGAAATCGGAACCGAAGGTGTAATAATAATCGAAGTTCCGACTTAACGGAATCGGAGTCGAAGCTCCGTAACATCCCTGTTTTTTTTTTAATTTTGACATAGGATGTTTTAATGTTTGCGATAAGCTGTTTCTGAATCTTAAATAGGGGTTTTAAAGCATGGGTGTAGATAAAATAAATTACATAATGGAAAATGTAGCCAATTCATAATAAAGGCTAGATACTCCTTTTAACAACATGGAGTTAGATAACTTAAATTCAACTTAAATTACAATAAAGCTGAGTTGATTTTTTATTGTACGTAAATTTCTAGAGCATAATTATTAAAATATTTATTACTCTTATAATTTTTAAATATTTTTACTTAAAATTACTCTATCTCTAAAGGAATCTCAATTTGCGCGTGAAGTTATAATTTTTTATTAATTGTACATACAAAACAAAATATTCTTATTATAAACCCAAGACATAAATTTATATCAATAAGCCCAAGTGTAACTTTTACGTTCTGCGAAAATACAGATTTTTTTTTGTTATTATGTAGGGTAGCTAGAAGAAACGGCCTATGGAACTTGGATATACTTCGTAGATAACGACAAAACTTACACTAAGGACTCTGAACAAATGTAGGTAAAATTTTACCATAACTTCTCAATGTAGAGATTTTAGTATTTCTATGTGAAGGTATATTATTTTATAAAACTAGTTTTTACGGGTTAATGCACGAAACTTTATTTATTTATTGACGTTTCGCAGCCTTTTCAGGTCTGCAATTTTAAATAAAATCATTATTCTGACGATGCAGACCTGAAAAGGCTGCGAAACGTCAATAAATAAATAAAGTTTCGTGCATTAACCCGTAAAAACTAGTTTTATTTAATGAGTGATGTGCGTGAAAACCTAAGAAACAAGTATATTATTTTGTTGGTGTTATTTAAAAATATACTTTAATGAATTGCAATTACTAACTAATTGGATACAAAAATAATCTCTTTATTAACGAGCTACAAAATTTAACATTTTTATAGATTTCGGATTTAGAATTTATACCTATGCAACAGATTATAAGTATATAATATTAATACTATACTATATGATGGGAAAATGGCAACAAATTATAAATATAATCGTGTGTTACAAGAATGAAATCCCTTTTGTCTACTTAACTTTGTGTATTTGGCGTTTTTGAGTTAGTATCTAAATATAGGCCCAGTTTAACACAAAACTGTAAGAATTTCACCACTGTTCTTTTTTTAAGTATTTTTTACATATATCTATACTTAGTACGTTTTAGTTATGTGTAAGTATATTTGTACTTTCTTTTGAAATCTCTTTTCAATCGATGTTTTATGTTGCAATGTATGGTGATGCATATGATGTCGGAGTCGCTTCTTTTCATAGGAGGTGTGTGTTGTGTGTCGTGTACATTACCTTTTTGGTGGCTATTTTCTTTTTGGTAGTTTTGCTTGTGTCTATGGCGCGGGGTGGGGGGTTTTGTTCATAAATATGTGTATGCCGCCGGACGGGTGCATTCGATGGGCGGGCGGCGTAGAGTTAACTCTCAGGCTAGATCTTCCCCTTTACTGCCGTCCAGGCGCTTCAGCTGTGTATAATAAAGATCGTAAGTGTCTTTGTTTGATTGAGACCGGCACGATTTTCTAAACCGAAAACTAAATTTGACAAAATTATGTACTTATTATGACTATATAGAGACAGAAAATAAGAGACCGTTGTCAAATTCAGTTTTAGGTTTACAGAGCCATGCCAAAACCAGGTCCAGTATAACACTAAGGGGTCGTACATTAATCACGTGATGTTTTTTTTGCATTTTTAACCCCCCTCCTCCCCCTTGGTGATACATGGTGAGGTTAAGACTAAACCCTCCCCCGGCCCCTATATCACGTGTATTTTAAGTACTTACAAAGAATCTATTTTTTTTAAATATTTACAAATACAGGTACAAGTATCATCTAATTTTATTATAGAAAATTAAAGACTACAATAATAACGCTGAGAGGTAGACAGAAAAGTTGCAGGTTGTTTTTGACTGACATAATAATGAATGAAATGCGATAAACTTTTTTGTACTAATAGTTACATGAACATTATTTAATGTACAGTATCCTCGGACCACAAAAATACACGTGATATATTACTACACCCCCCCCCCCCCCTCCCCCCTTGTGATATTTCGTGATTTTTTATGAACCCCTTCCCCCCTTTCGAGCCTCACTTGATTAATGGACAACCCCTAAGGTACTATATTAAACTATTTACCAAAAAAGGGAATTTATTAAACAGGTAAAAAAGGTGCACAAACTTATACAAGTAGATGGTAATTTATTATACAATCTACAGTAATTGTATTTACTTAGAGTCCTGAATTAGCAATTGACGTTATCTAACTAATAACTAAAAAGGGTAATTATAAGGTAGGTACTCTTTCATGTTCATCAAAAATAATGTCATCATCACGCTATAAGGATTTGAACATGAAAGTTTTATGGTTGAAGTTTACACACAAATCGGTAGTAGTATTACAGAGGTATATATAATTATATATTTATTGTAGGAAGTATCTCCCGAACTAAGTACCTACTGAATCGATTTAAAAAGTTCTTTCACCAGTGTTATATATTCCCCATTTTCTATCTATAGGCAGAAACCTCATTCCTGCCCCCCTAGCATGAGCAGCGCGGTATGATATATAGCACGTTTTTATCACGCTCAATTAATAAATAAATATTTCCAACACTCACACCAAATAGCCTAGCCCCAAAGTAAGCACTGTAAGGCTTGTGTTATGGGATACTAGGGTAACGGATAGAATACATATATTGTACATTTATATAAGTATATTTATATAGAAATACATATTAAACATTCATGACTGGAGTACTAATGCTCGTATTCATCACATAAATATCTGCTCCCACCGGGATTCGAACCCGGGACCTCTCGAATCGGCGACAACATGAAACCCGGCGTACAAACCACTCGGCCACGGAGGTCGTTAATTTACTAAGGAATTTGTCAGTAAGACATGATAAAAACGTGATAAAATGTATAATGTAGTGCTCATGCTACAGGGACTGGGTGATATAGGGTAGGCTAAAAAAGGGTAGGATAGGCAAAATTTTACCGCGGTAAATCAAATTTAATCCGTGCCAATTCTAGGCGGGTCGCTTTTGTTTAGCATAATAGTATCATATAGGATAATGTTTAATCGGCCCATTTGTATTTGACAAAGAGACAGATAGCACGCAATGTTCCGACGTTCTGACAAATAAATAAATTAGCAAACCTCATTACATTAAAACACGGTGCCTATAAATAACGACATGCAAGAGAGTCATGGCCGCGCTCAGATATTTACGTCTATAAAAGCTTGATCAAAGTTAATGCTATCACTTTCTTAGGTCCACTTGCAACAATTTTGCTAATCTCAATTCAACTAAATCTAGTTTTAGTCAAATAGATATTTAGCAAATTTGGTACATTGAGCCTTAGTGCTAGTAATAGATACAACCTATTGTAACCTATACTTTGGAGAAAAAAAAATATAGAGTAAGACCACCTGTGTAATATACTTCTACGAGATAATGGCGAAATTCTGGTAGATACAATTAGTAGTCAAGGAAAGGAAATGAATAAGAAAAGTCAACAGGTCACTAAGCTAAGACAAGTATTAAATTTGACTAGAGTGTCTGTGTATGACCGTAATTTACCTCAGGGAAGGCCCCCACTTTTTGAATTTTGTTATTATCCTGGTTGTTCTGGATTGTTCTATGTTTGTTCTACATAGTTCCAGAGTTTTATTTGAAAAAAAAAATGTTAAGCTACTAAAGTTTTTTATGGTAGCCTTATAGTGGCTTCAAATAATTGTTTTTTCAAATTAAACTCCGGAACAATGTTAGGAACAACTAAAACAACTTGGAACAACCAACACAATATTGAATTCAAAAATGAAGACCAAGAAATAATGTTTTTTTTTGTCTAGTAGCTTTAAATTTTTGTGTTTTCAAATAAAACTAGAAAAATGTTGAACAACCTAGATAATAATAAAATTCAAAAAGTGGGGGCTCACTTCCCTGAGGTCCGTACTTCTCTTTACGAATGTGTATTTATTTAAACTTAGATGGTATTAGAATTACTTCTTACGCTTTGTTCAACAGTCCAAGCAGTGGGGGCAAGACGTCCAGAACGCTTGTAATGATAATAATAATGTACATTTTACAAAAAAACATAATTTATTAATCTCCAATATTCAATATAATTATATTATGTAAGTATGTTTTGTACTTACAAAATGTTGTTTGAATGATGGGATCTAGGTTTTTTTGTATAACAAAAATAATTTATTAAATCAAGGAACTGTTAAAGATAGAACCTTTAGAAGTTCCTAAATTGAATAAATGTACAAAAATTTACCAATTTTTGCAAATTCTTTTTAATCTAAAGAAAACATGTTTGTAGTGAAATTTCCTTTAGATTTATAAATGTACTGAACATTTGCTTATTTTTGTTTATTTTATGCATTAAACCATGGGCGCCTCCAGGATTATTTTCAGGGGTGCATCAACACATACTATTTACCAATATAAAATATAGAATTATGCAAGTGCATTTGCCCGGATAGCGAAGGGTGCGGGTTCGAGTCCCGCCAGCTGCCTGATCCGCGTGAAATGTTTTCTAGTAAAATTTTCTTTAGATTTAGAATTATACAAGTTAGGTAAGTACTGTAACGTCCTTGACGTTATAACCTCCTTGTTTAGGTAAACTCTTTGCTTTTACAATGCCTACGGTTGGCAGTTATATTAAAAAAAGTTAATGTCATGATTTTAAGATTTGAAATAAGGAATCGTCTGAAGGTTCCATTCAAGATTAGATCTTCAGGCACCAAGAACTTCCTCTCGTATTTAGATAAAATTTCTTTATATTCGCCTGAATGATAAAAAGAAATAAATAATTTATCTCTACCAGTATCGTTTAATTAATAAGCACGTCCCCAGGTTCTATCCATTCTGGGTAGAACTCTATATGGTGGACGCGCCGCGTAGTTTCAAGTACCGCGAGTGAAAAATAATTTTAAATCAAGAAAGAAGTAGTTTTATGAAGATGGAGACCAGGACCACATTCGACGGAAAAGGTGATGTAACCGATTTCTTTCGTCAATTTAATATCATCGCCGCTATCAATAATTTCAACGAGGATACAAAAAGAGTTGTGTTGTCGGCATATTTGAGTGGACCTGCATTGTTATTTTATAAAAATATTAATGAGTCTTGTGAGAATTTTCAGATTTTAGAAAAGAAAATACGTGAGGAATTTCCATCATCGATAAATGCGTTGGAAAAATTTTTCTCACAAAGACAAGGCTTGTCAGAAGAGCCATTGCACTTTTTTTATATATTGGATGAGCTGGCCACAAAAGCGGGAGCTGTCATTGATGACAAATGCTTCATTAGACAGTTCTTGAAAAATGCGAATTTAAATACAAAAAATCTTTTCGCATTTCAGTTATATAGTGGTAAAACACATTTAAAAAATATTTTACGTCAAGCACAGGATATTTTCGGAGACGAAAGTGCCGAAATTTGTTGGAATCTGCCGATCCAACCATCGTTTGCTCACTTCGAAGCGGCGAAAATTTCGCATATAATAAGGAATGAAGAGGAACAGGAGAAGGAGATCAACCTCATTTCCTCCCAAAGTGTCCTTTCTCATCCCATTGTCCCTCCCGAACACATGATTCCCCGCACTTTTTGTTCCAGTAACACGAACAAAAAGAAGCTTAAATCAAAGAAGAAGAAGCATCCAAAGAAAATTTTTTATGAAGAAAATGTTATGACGATGGCTGATGGACAAGATTTTCATTCACAGCCGTTACAAAATAACAATCAGCATACAAGTGAATCCAAACCTTTAATTAATATAACGTGTCGTGATAAGGAGTTTGTAGGGCTCATTGATAGTGGTGCTGCAGTGTCTGTGGTGTCAAAGGACACAGTTGATAGAATTCATCAACGAATTGATGAAAGCGATATGAAGTTGAAAGCTGTCGATGGTAAAGAATTGTCTGTTATAGGGAAAGTCAACCTAAAATTATTGATAGACAATGCATTATTCATTCATGATTTTCTTGTGGTAGAAAATATTAGGCATAATCTCATCTTAGGACAGGATTTCTTACTTCGAAATAATGCGATAGTAGACTTTTATAATGAACAATTAATAATCAAACATATTAAGTGCAAGTTTAAAAGACAGTATATACAAATGAATAACGAAAGTGATAGTGATAATTCGGTGTATGACGAAAATTTATATTATGCCGAATAGGTTGATAGTACAATAATAATAATGTGTTACTAATGAGATTTTATTTCAGTTTATTGTTTATATGAATGTTTTAAAGCAATAGTGGTATGTAAATAAGGTTCAATACAATAGTCATTTTAGAATTTTATTTCAAAAGCATATTAAATATAAGTTTGTCATTTTATTAGAAATTTTTTTCAATACACATATTTTAAGGAACTTTTACACATTTTGTTTATGACAGATCAATAGGTAGTTTCATTAAAGTATTTTCATTTCTTTTAATTGTTAGCTTTAGTGTAATTTGTTGAGTAGGTGGATTATTGATATCGTAATAACCATAAGAATGATAGGTAACAGGTTCGATTCTCTGTTCAACTTGGAATTATTCAATTGATTTTGAATATGATCATTGATAGGATTAATTTAGCATTAGGATAGAATATATACAGTGTATAATGTATAATAGGATAATATAGGTCCATAAAGAAAATTCCCTTATTATAAAAAAGGAAACGGGTTCGATTCCCTGTAAGGTTAAAAAAATAAATAAATGAATAATAATGTTATACTTTGAAAATTTACCCAACTATGGAAAAGAGGCTATAAAGATTTATCATAAATGTTTTCTTGAATATTAACTTACCCGACTGAAGAAAAATGGTGTAAAGAATTTTACTAATATTTTCTTGATTGTTTTATGTACTACCACATGATGCGGACTTCCCGAGAGAGAGCAGGCTGGCGCTCATGCAGACGTCAGCGATACTGACGATGATCCACCCTGAAGATGATGGAGACACCCTCTACGAATTCGCGTCGTTTTCGTTTCAATTTGGTCGCGTCGCGTTCGTCAAAATCGTCACTTGTAGTAGTTTGACTTGGGGGTAGGGAACCCTTAGTATTCCATGGGAATTGGGTTTAATCTTGTTTGATGCTAGATGTCCTTACCCAAAATTTCTATTACGTTTGCGCATCATGGGTGTCTAATAAAGTACAAGACAATAAAGTGGTGGACCACGTCTGTATCTTTATTAAAGATGTACGAAAGTAAACATTATTTATAAATTCTTTTAGGTTTTGCTCAAATCCAGTTAATGTTTACGAATCTTAGGAAATAGTTTGAATTTCGTTTCGTACATCTACTTAGTATGGGAAGTAATGAAGTTTCAAAATATAAATTTTCTTGATATTTAATGGTTTAATAAATGGGATAGGGTAAAGTTTTGCTGATAGATGGGATAAAAAAAAAATTTGCTTGGGTAATTTAAGTTATAGCTAGGGTTAGCTTTGTTTTTTTGTTTTTGCCGACTGATGTCGATGTAAAGTAAAGTTAAGGTTAGGAGGGAGATGTACGAGGGATTTTGTTAAGGTTTTGCTCCCGTAAAGTCTTTGCAATAAAACTTTGCAAACAGTTAGGGTTCTTTTCCCGTAAAGTTTTTTTTTTTGCAAGTTTTGCAAACTTATTGTGAGGGCTAGTCTGTAGTAAAGGCCACCTCCCAGTTGTATTTATGTCCTTAAGCAGGTAGGGATTTTAGATAGGACTGTCGAACCCTCTCGATGTAGTAGGTAGGAAAAAAAAATTTTGTTCGGTCATCTGGTATGACAAAACAATTTTTTTTTTTTTAGAGGTGCCGGAGGGATGTAACGTCCTTGACGTTATAACCTCCTTGTTTAGGTAAACTCTTTGCTTTTGCAATGCCTACGGTTGGCAGTTATATTAAAAAAAGTTAATGTCATGATTTTAAGATTTGAAATAAGGAATCGTCTGAAGGTTCCATTCAAGATTAGATCTTCAGGCACCAAGAACTTCCTCTCGTATTTAGATAAAATTTCTTTATATTCGCCTGAATGATAAAAAGAAATAAATAATTTATCTCTACCAGTATCGTTTAATTAATAAGCACGTCCCCAGGTTCTATCCATTCTGGGTAGAACTCTATAGTACCTACGTATGTGGATAATTACTACTTGTGAATGTTTAATTGCATAAGTTTTCGCCAAACCGCCCACTGGGTGATATGCGGATTTCTAGTATAGAGCTTCCACAATTGTGGATTACTGGAGGCGTAGCTTCTCCATCGTCCAAGGTCGAGTTGGAGATGAAGAGTTTGACCAGAATATCGGTCTTTTTCTTCGTATTACACAGTTTAGCCGAATACCATGAAATAAATTATATGTCGAATGACTAGCACGCGTAGCGTCTACACTGACCTTATTGAACCAAGGGTGGTTGCGGCCACCAACGGTTATTTTATGGTAGGGAATGAATAAATCCATTCCCGTAAGTACCGTGTCACTTACACAATCGGCACATGTGTCAGGATCATTGGAGAAAAATAATTCCACGGGTAGGATACAAAGAACTCACGAAGACCATCCCAATCTACAAGCTTGTATTGCCAGACTGCGAGAACCATTAGCTGGTGAGCATAAGGGATTGAAACGGGGGCTGTAGAACGAACCAGGCAATAATCAGACGACTCTAGTACCACCACCTTGTGTCTGTCTGTTCCAAGGGTTTGGTTCATGGCTCTCAATATCTGGGAGCCGAGTTGGCTGCGACACCATTTTGGGAGAAACCATGGGTCAGAGCAAAGACAGGAAAAGCTCGATCAAGGGAGTCAGTGGTTCAAGAACCCAACCAAATGTGATATTTTTATAAATAATTAGTATTTATGAGAAATAAATACTAATTTCTAATTATTGTACATTTTCATTCATATTTTTCCCACATTTAAGACATATTTTTTATATAATTTGTTTCCGTGGGGCTACCAAGCTACCATCCCGCTGGTGTAGTTTAGTAAAAAAAATGTTTTTTGTGCTGTACTTTCTTATATGTACTTATATTTCGTATATGTACTTTCTTATGGGTTCTCTGACAAGGGGGTGCTCTTGCACCCCCTTTTCAGAGAACCCCCTGCAGGCGTCCAGGCATTAAATTGCTATATATAAACAAAATAAATTGTACTTTGTTTAAGTAATTTCGTTGTCAGGTGTTTTTATTCAGAAGTTTATTTGATTTTAGGAATTTCAAATAAGTCGACTTTGACTTCGACCTTGCATTACTCAGGCAGGGGTTTCAATAGTTTTGTATTGATTGTCTATATTCTATTTGTCTTTAATTTCAACTGCAAATGAATTACTTGTACCGACATGATTTAAACAGTGATTTTTATCATTTGAAAATTGCAACACACTAACGAATGTGTTCATAGTAATTAAACTGAAAGCTTAGAGCTTTCACTTAGAAATAAAAATAAGAGTAAGTATTATTTAAGAAATGATATAAACATTAAATAAACAAACACGATTTATTGAAAACAAAAAACCTTAAAAAAATAAATATAAAAATATAAGAAAACTAATATTAACCAGAATATAAGAAAAAGAAACACCTAAATGCATAACCATCAGATATAACAAAATCCGATTTTTGTCTAAGCTTACTTATATGCCGAGTTTGTAGCCTACCAGTTTATAAGTCAAGAATCGATTTGGCTATTAGGAGAACCTATGTTATTTTATACTTTTAAATAATTAAAAAAGGTTCTAGTCTACCGCAGTAGTCCGTTTACCTCTTTCTCATCGCTGGCCACAGCTTTGTAGCGCGGCGTCTCCTGTGCCGGCGCCGAGAACCCGTGCACGTAGAGGAGCGCAGCGGCCACCCCACCAGCTATGGGACCCACCCAGTATACCTGTAGGAAATCAGTATTACAGCATTTATGCGACAAATTAAAGTTGTTTTTACGTGTATATTACAGCAATTATGGTCAAATTTAAGGGCACTTATAGGCGTTTCAACGACGCGATCAATGCAGCGCTTTCATACCTTTAAAATCATGAACTGCAAAGTGGATAAGTCGCGAAGTTAGCGCTAGCGTCGTATCTAAGGTTGCCAGATGGTCGGAAATTGTCTGGATTCTCCCAAACTTTCATGTCATCTCCATACTCCTAATAAATATCGAGATCTCCCGACAAACGAACAGCTACAGCGACACGGGACGTGTGGCTCATGCAATGCACTGACCGCCCCTACCAAGTTCACTTTAGGCTTAGTGTATGCGTTCCGTCGAGGGGTGTAAATTTTTCCAACAACAATCCCAAAATCCTGAAATTTAAAAATGTGAGCCGTATATAAGACTTTTCGATTTGGGAACCCTAGTCGTATCCGCCATCGCTAACTAGTGCCAAGGTCCGAGTCCGGGCCAAGACAGACGCTCTGGTTGAGTCAACATCCCTCAGGCTCGAGTGGTCTAGTAGCTCTAGAACGAAGAAGAGACTGCCATCCGCTTAGTGTACCAATAGCTTTCACACTCCAAAATAAGTTGCGTGGAAAGGACACTGCTCAGCTTTCATACGTAGACCTCACAACCCAATTCACACTTGTCGTAAGTCTGTTTAAGGTTTTCGGATACATTTTATTTTAATTATTTGGTTTTGGCACCACTTTCGACATTATCCTTTGTCACGCAGATAGTTATTACGACGCCATATACATCTAAGTAACGAATTTCCAAAATTCACCCCCTAACCAAGGGCATGAAACAGGGATCCAACGTTTGTATTGAGAAACAGTAGTTCGAGAGAGGTAGTATAATATAAATAACTGACCCAATGAGAAGTCCACATGTTGACGACCAGCGCGGAACCGAAAGAGCGCGCCGGGTTCATAGCGGAGCCGGTGTAGTCCACGGCTAGCAGATGACCCAGGGTTACCGTCAGCCCGATAGCCAGGGGGGCGGTCGCCTTGCTGTCCGGCTTGTTAGGATCACATACCTGAATAAATAGTTAACAAATAATCAAATTTGCTGCGAGATTTTTCTTTAAACTTTGATGAGCTTCTGGTAAAACTGTGTTTAGTCAAACTGAAATTGAATCTTGCTAATTTTGTTGATTATTTTTGTGTTCTTGAAGTAAGTAGACGAGTTTCTATAGGTAGACCGCTTAACTGAGTGCTCTGACGAACTGACTGACTGAAGCACATTCTTGTCAAAATTACAAGTGCCCGCCGCCCGCACCTCTCACGGTCCCCGTTCTCGTCCTCCTCCACACTCTGTGCCTGTGCCCCGTAGGCGAGGACTCAGTTAAGCGGTTTACCTATAGCTAACTTGATATTTATGTTGAGATACAGACACGGCTGTATTTTTTATGTTACATGAATGTCATCATGATGACAAAAGTATATGACCTGCCTGATGGTAAGCGACTACTATAGCTTATTTATAGCTCGCGATGTGAGTACCTATATCGATAGATCCGTTTCCTTTCCTTATCGCGTGGAGTTCAGGAACCTTATTCATTGGTAGGGACTCGAATCGACAAAGGATAGTGTTATTTTACCGTAGTCTTCTGTGAGTTGTGCATTATAATATAATGAATTATATTGTCTTCATTGCGTTGAAGATAACATTTAATAACCATATAGGTACCTATATCCAATATAATCAGTATGATAGACAGGCGTTGAATGGTTTTATGACGATTGCACCTTCTGCTCTAAAAGGTCCTGGGTTCGATTCCCGGTATTTAAAATTTATTTCAGAGATAAATGGAATTAATTCTTGTCGAATTATGGCAGTTCATATACAGGTACCTACGTATGTAGGTATATATATATTTCACCTAGGTATACGCATTGGTGTAGCTAGGGATTTTCCTAGGAGGGGCTTGCACCTGACTTGAACTAATCACGCATTCTTTTAATGAGATTATAAATGACGCCTTAATCATGCGTCATACAATTCCTTAATTCTAACAAGATTTAGCTTTCTATGTTTTCGCTGAATCGTTACGACCATGCTTCGACATTGCCAGAGGAGTTTCGGTAATCGCATTCTTAGTTATTTCATTCTGAAATGAATTTTGAAACTGTTAAGTGATTTTTCGTTTCGACGATCTTTGCACTCTTTGATTTCTATAGTGGGCCTTGGTGGATCCTTGCCGCTTGACGCTTAGCTTTTGAGATAATGAATAGCCCTAAAAGTAATTTCTGTTGGTGTGTTGTTGCCAACCATAGCCAACAATTGGCAGGATGTAGGGAAATGGTAGTGTATTTGCCAACAAAGTCCCTTCATGGGGCCAACCGACAACCACATAAATGTTACAATTTCAATAAATGTCAAACAATGGGCCAACTGCCATGACAGTTGGTTAAATAACAAGATTTTATATACTGCAGGTGTAACATTGTCCTTACTTCGGATTTATTTTAACTAAATTCATTTAACGTAACTCTATGAAGTTTTGTAAAACTGTCCCTTTATTATACTTGCACTTCGAGGTCATTGTTCAAAAAATCTTGTGATGTGGTTGATATTATTGCAGTGGCCAATGGTGTCAAAATAACTTTATATTTCCTACCATCTTATAACAAAGGGCCTAAGTTTCGATGTGCCTGTGATTGTCCTGTAGTGTAGTAGTAGTATTTAACGGGATTAATGTGACCGACGCTTTGACTAATTAATTTATCTCTAATTTGTTTTTCCTTGCATACTTTTATCTTTACTATAGGTGCTTATTTACTTACTCGAGTATGGGCAGAACATTACTAAACACGATGGAAATTTGAATAATAATAGAAGGTACCTAGTTAAGAGACAAATACTAAAATATTTTAATAAAAAAAATATGTAAAAAAATCTACACTTGTTGTTGAACAAGTTGTGGAAAATTTCGTATTATACCCGGTTCACACGAGGCGATTTCTGTTGATCAAGACTAATCAATCAAGACTACTATACAGACTAGACAATCAAATTGAAGCAACAAAAATCGATTAAATAAAAGTTACCTTTCAACTTTTGTTGATTCAAGTCTCTTTTTGTAAGCAATTTAACTCGTCTGAACCTGTCGTGTTCAAGTTGATTTCAATAATGTCTGCGGCAAGCGAATGTTTAAATAGTTTGAGGTTAATAATAATAATAAAAATGTTTATTTGGCACAAAATATAAAAATAACTAATTGTATTATATAAATGTTTTGTACCAAACAGGCTACTACTCAGTATATGTCGTGACAACATGTGCCACGACACAGCAGCAGTCTACTTAGGCTTAGTTCAAGCGCTAATAATTAAATTATAAAAAGATAAAAGTGGGATAGCAGCAATAATAATTTAAATTGAATGACATTTTTAAATTATTTATAGGTCTTAAATATCATTAAAAAGTTTGGGAATAACAAATATTAAAAATGCTCGAGAGGCGATGCAAAATAATTTTAACAACATTTCTCTTAATTTTTTTCGCACAACATCACAAATATTTAGTTGGTATCCACCAAAGATTTAAATATTTGGTACCCACTCCCTCAATTCTTCACTTTCCGTCATCTGGGTACCAATGTTCCATCAATTTTAATTGAACTGTCAGAACATGTTCATTCAAAGGAGGACGGGCATTTTGGTATCCAATTGGTGTTTGGTATCAAAAGCGATGAGTGATATATCATTGAATACCTCTTTTCATGTAGAATATTAGTTACTATGGCGGCATTCTGATATTTGTTGTCCGTTTCTATTTTTTCTAGAAAATACCAGACCCATTTTTGCCGGAACCGTTACCACAGAATATATACACTACACAAGCTAGTTATTGTTTTTTTTTATTATGTTTTTTACCATTTTCTTTTATAAACGTTCTCGTTAAAGATAAACATTAAATAGTTCACACGAGGTAGAATTGTTACTAAGTCGGAAGGCACTGGTATATCTGCAATACAGTTTTTTTTTAAACTATTGCAGCTCATCAACGCTCTAACCTAATGCCTTTTGTTAATACTTACAACACTGCTAAATACTAAATGTAAATACTAAAATGTATAACAATTTAAAAAGAAAAAACTTTTGTTTGTTATTTATTATATAATCCAGTTTCGACAACGTATCAGGGCAAGCGCCATAGTAGACATTATTGTATTCAAGTAGACCTTTCAAATGATATGTAACACATCTCTATTGGAACGGATACCAAGTTCCATACATTTTTGCCCATCATCCTTTGTTTGAAATTTTTTGGCGAACGATATAAGTCACGAGATAAATTTGAATCGCCTTGTGTGAACCCGATCTTAGAGAAGAAAAGAAAAGATTAAAAGCGAAGATAACACCATAAAGACCCGTTTATTCCTAGCCAGTGACTAACGGAAGGACCAATCTGCCGAATAGTGGCGCTCTGGCTCGAATGATGCGGTCACTACCTAAATAAGATCGTCGCCGCGTCGTAAGAATCGACGAGGACAACTTTATATTTATTGCTCCATGCGAGTTTTGTTTAATGCATCCTATTTGTTGAGTTATTTATGTTTAAATAAATAATAATTAACAGATTTAATAGACTTTGCTAAAAAGGCCAAGCATCGAAGTTACTAATTGAAATTGAATACAATATCATGTTAATATTAAAGCTTAAATTAGAATATGATGTGTTAGTGGAAATGTGGCTGCAGGTAGGTAGTAGGGTTTCCAGTTTTTTTTGATCAAACAAATTTTAATGTTCAGTTTGCCAAAATATACGGGATTTCAAATTAAAAATAAAACTACAGTACTGGTTTTCCGGACCCACTTACGATTTGCACCCTAGAATTATTAAATCATATCAAAATATAAGTTAGTAACAAATGCCTTTATATAGCTTCTGCCGCCCCTCGCAGCCAGCCGCCTCAGGCCGTGGCCCTAGAAATAATACGCCCCTGGTTTTATTTAACATATTTTCTGATTCGCTGCAAATGTAATCATTGTCATCTGCTTCATCGGCAACACAAAGACCTTTGACTGCGTACGAGGGGACAAACTGTGGAACGTGCTACTCGAAATGGGAGCTCCTGAACACCTCACTGCTTTTTTATCCAGAGTTCGTATACTAAAAATCGTTCGTTCATCAAAATAGGTACTGAATACTCCTATACTAGGAAGGGTTTGAGACAGGGCTGTATCTTGTCCTCTGTACTGTTTAACATATATGGAGAGTACATTATTTGGAAGACTTGGGAGAAGAACATTTCTGGCATATAAATGTGGTACATATACTTGGGTTCTCAAACCAACAATGACGGCAGTTGTATCCCCAAGATAAAAAAGAGAATCGGAATGGCAAAAGATGCCATTTTCCCGCCTGATTAAACAACATCAAGAAGAAAATAGGAATTGGTATTAAAACCAAGATTAGATTGAAATGTACTGGTTTTTTCTCTATTTTCCTTTATGGAGTCGAAAAGTGGATAATCTTGGCCTGAATAAAACAAAGGATTGATGCATTCAAGGTGTGGTGTTGGAGGCGAATGCTGAGAATACCTTGGACGTCAAAACGCACCAAATCAATGCATCGATCCTGACCTAGCTTCGCATAAAATCTCGTCCCCCTTATGCCGGCAGCGTATTCTTTCTTACTTCGACCACACAGTACGCAGAGGCAATGGAAATTTGGAAAAAATATATTATTGTCGGGAACACCGAAGGCTAAAGATCGCGCGGTCGTTTTTCAACAAGATAGACCGACTTAATTAAATATTAGTCGATTTCGCTTTTTATTAAATCTGGAATACATTGTTGTCCATATTCAATTCATTTGGATGCCATTTGCAAAAAAATCCTCTGCATAGCTGTTGAAAATAGGAATACTAAAGAAAAACGATATAATAAGAATAATAAAACGATTTTCACATCTAGAAAATTGGTGCGCCGTGGGTCATTTTAATCGAATATTTTGTTTATTCTTATAATTTATTCGAAATTGTTGAAATATGGGACAGATACTGTCCCGGCGGGACGTTTAAAATTA